TTTTTTCTCATAATGAATGTTACACCGAAAAGCAAGCTTCAGAGACGCAATAAAGTATAAATATATTGTTGATCAGCGCGAAATTCTGAGCTGATTTAGCCATGTCTGTCCGTTTGTGTGTCTATGTTTTTGACCCTCTCCTGGTCGCAAAAATGAAGATATCGGCTTCAAATTTGGTAGAAACATTGGAAGTTTCTACACGCAACGTGATATTAAAAATGGGCCTAATTGGTCAGACAAGAAAAGGGCAGTGAAGAGTAAACTGAACGCAACTATGTTTTTCTTAACAAAAATTTGTGCGTTTTTGGAAAAATCAGCCATACTCACACAAAGTTACAAGTTGTTAAACTTTCTTTCTTTCCCTTTTTATGCTTTTTTAGGTTTTATGCTTTTTTATCATAAGGCAAACAAGACAGAATGTTTAAAACTATTTCGTACACTCCTCCAATGAAGATATATTATCTGCCTTAACATGGGTTCATTTTAAAATGAATATACTAGACACCGCGATTAATTTTTCTTAATAATACCATCGATATGGGTATCAAATAAGAGAACTTGGAGAATAGAACGCGAAAAGCGTAGAGATTCGGCCCCCGTCGAGTGTAACTTTCTTACTTTTTCCTTTTTTTGCTTTTGGAAAACAATGGTGTGCTCAGTTTACTTGTTACTGTGGGCGTGTTCTCCCGTTGGTTTGGCCAATTTTCAATACCAACCTGCACACGAGAACTTCTAATGAATTCCATATTTTCATTGGCAGGTGGACATGCTTAAAGTGATGATGATCAATTTTATAGAAGAATTTGTATGTTCTATGGGATATGTGAAGCTTCCTTCTACGTTTCAACCAAATGAACATACACCGATCATGTTTCGATGATCGGTATAAAAACACAGTTAAGCCGATTAATTTTTTGGAACAAATAAAAAAATTCCGAAAGATATTCATTTTGTCAAATGTTTGTAATGTTACGAATCCCCCTCAAAAACCTCCCAGCAAGTTCATTAATCAGCATAAAGGACGGACCCAATTTAGCTACGTACTTGAAGACACTTGTTAACAGTTTCGAACGTCGGTATGAAAGGTAGGATTTTGTTGTTCACGAAACTGAGTTAAAACAGCCTACAGGTTCGGTTTCTTTTGAAACTTTTATATCCTACATTACATTGACTTAACATTTCCCAATTTTTGCTTATATTTCATAGAAATTGGAATTGCATTAAGCGGTGAGGGGCAGAAATTATAGGAATTTCTGATATTTTTCTTAAGCATCAAATCAGGTAAAAAATAAGTTAAACCCTAACATTTGGAAGATACTTAAGAACACAATTACCTCTGAGCAGGAAATTCCGATTAGTAGATTACCTGTATCTAGAAGGGTTCGATATTTTTGGTATAAAAACAAGGGTTCTTAGGAGCTAAATCATATTCGAAGAGTATACGCAGCAGTGTGAACTTGTCACGATCGTAAAAAAGTGTTTTAAAACTTTGAAATTAAAAATCAACGAGAGCAAACTTGCAATGGATTCTTATCTCAGAAATGAAGTTAACAAAGGAAAACCAGCTCAGCAAGATCAACATGTACCAAAACGAAAATATTGGTTGAAGAAAAAAGCGATTTTAATGCAAACAAGAATGAAGCTTCCCGAATATAAAATAGTTGACTTCGTAAGAGAGCAAAATTACTTCGATCGATCCCAGGCTTCGACAAGTGTAGTATGCAAAGCCCAGAAAAACGACGAGAAGACGACGTATAACTTAAAGCAAAGCTCTTGCAAAGGGAACGCTTATAGTTATGTGACCACTCTTAATAACTGGGCTTTATATCATGCAAAGCAGGGAAATTTCTTTGAAGCTTCCCACCTTTTGAAAAGATCTTATGGTATAAGAAAAGCTTTTTGGCTTTATCATCCGACCACGGTGGTAACCTTAAGTAACTTGGCTTTGGTGTACAACTTTAGCGGACTATTGCGTGAAGCTGAGATTACAAGCTTAGAAGCCATTGACCTAATGGAGCGAACTAAAAGCGCTGATTATCTGCATGCGGCTTTGCATTTCTTTGCCTTGGCATCGCTTTACAAATACCAACGGAGATATAAAGAAGAAGAGTCAAGCTATCGGGCAATCTTATTTGTGTACGAATCCCATTATGGTGCGAACGATGCCCATGTAATTGGTACGAAAGCACGTTTAGCCAATTGTCTTACCGGACAGAAGAAATTTTCCGAAGCTGAACAATTATATTACGATATATTAGCAGAGGCTTGCCAACGAGAAAATAACCCTATTGAAGATTCATCTGAGGCGCAAGGTAACGTAGTTTTACAAACTCTCGAAGCCGATAAGTTATGGTTCAAAGTTAGCAACATATTATATCCAACCGTGGCTGAAACTATTAAGAAATTGACCGATTTATATGCATATCGTGATGATTATAATCTTGTATTATAGTTTAAGTTTAATTTTATAGGATATATTTTTAATGCAAAAAACTAATATTGAAAATAAATGACAATTTTTTAAAGCGAACGGAAGAAATTCATTGATTTCATTATTCCATATATTTTGTTTTAAGGACATTTGGGGAAACTGATAGCAAGTTTGGAGTTTGGAGTGGGTTGGAGTACTTTCCTTAAGATTTCTCCGTATTTAACACACCCAAGGCAAGTCCGTAATCGTACGAGCTTAGGTAGCGAATGTTGGGTATGAAAGGAGGAAAGAAATTTTCCGAAACTGTGCCATACATTGCTAGAGTTTTTATCCTTCCAATCTTCTCTTATGATAAAATGAAATGTTCGCTCGAACAAGAGCTTCCGTTAGGTGTATGTAAATCCGGTATATGCCGAAAGTAATTTCAGCCTTGTCTTTGACTTTCTTTTTTCATTCCATTACGTAACATTAAAGTGCATATATTAGCAGTAACTGTTAAGTAACGTTACAAATTTCTATTAGATAAGTGTTAAGAGCGAACTCTCATATCAAGAAAGAAAGACCTTTAGACGAATATGAATATAATTGTACAGATTGTATTCTTAGTTATGCACCCTCTCGACTTTTATATATACTATACATATATCATATATAAATATGTATACTTTCTGTTATTATTGCAGAGCATTCGCATTTTATTAGGGATTAACTCAAAGATAAGTTTTGAAATATAGACTTGAATCTGAACATAACCTTGCATGGAAATAGCAAAAAAATGGATCCAAGCGCAAAAAAAAGTGCAAATAATCAACAAACATATGTA